AAGCCGTTGCTGTGAAGTTGGAACTTACTCTCCAGAGGGTTTCTGAAGATGTAAATTGCACTGGAAGACGTATATCACCTTTCTCTATGGAACTGCTGGTGGATATGAATTGTCAGAGAGGATAGCCTTTGGGTTAACAACACAACTCCCTGAGAACTACCAGAGCTCCCTTGAGAAAGACCTGGCAATCTGCTCTGTAAAGATGGGTCTAGGAAGCTGATAGGGCAGTCATACTCTGTCCTGTGTAGTTGGAATACACTGATGGCACACAAGATTAACAAGATCAACAGATGTGTTTCCCAGGGGGGAGTCTGGCACAAAGTGGACAGGGAACTCAACGAAGGACACCAGAGATGGCATATGAATTAGGCCTGGAACCCAGGACTTGAGATCTCCAGATTGCTTCTTCTTGGACAATCACTCTAAGATACTCTTGTCCTTTCTTTGCTTCCATCTGGCCCAAAAGCCCAACAGTAATTCCTAGCTGCATGCTCCCATAATCCTCCACAGTTCTGGTAAGGAATCTATGTGATGGTAGGCTAGACAGTTAGCTCCAGAAAACAGGCATGGGTTTTCAGTGCCTCACTCATCTTTGCCCTGGATTACCCATCCATTCATTCCATAATGTGACAGGGCATTGTGCTACAACAGGGCTACAGAAGGAATGAAAAACTCCACAGATAGAGTCCCACAGAGCTGACTGTCTTAATCTCTAGAGTTCAGGCATTCTAGACCTGTAGGGTAAGTAGGATGAGGGCAATTCTGTGGTCTCTGTGGAGTCTAGAGCCAGGGCCTCTCCATGTATCTATCCTCCCTGAGACCCGTTCAGATCTCCAGTCATGCTGAGTTGGTCCTGCTTATATCTCTTCATGAACCAATCCACCTTGGCAGCTCAAGGTTTTTTCCCGTCATGTCCAAGTTGAGCATTCAATTCAGATCAGTTTGGAATCCTTCGTCTCCCAGTGCTACTTTATTAATATGCTGTAGTAGAAGTGAGAGGTGGAAAACTGTATTGCTAACACAGTTGCCACTAAACATGCAACCACATGCTTGGTTCTGGAAGTTCATTCTCCTGAATGCCTTAAACCTGGTGCAAACAGGCTCTGAGATATTAGTAACTTAAGTGGCCAAGCTTGAATTTCAACCTTGTTCTGAAAAAGCATTCACTTCTGCCATTTTTAGAAAACCTTATCACTACAGGATATGGATCCAATTCCCAAGATGCTTTTTCAGTAGGTGGACAGCCAAGCCTCACCTGAGGAAGCACGCGCGCAAAGGCAAGGTCAATTTGAAGCGGGTTATAAGCCAGTGAAGAGAAGGGTTTGTTGGCTCGGAAAAAAGGAGGACGTACCATCCTTCAAGCAGTTCGGGATTCTACCAAGGTTTGTGAGCAGGAGGAAGTTAGAGAGGATTGAAGATTAGACATTTCTGTAACTTCCTTTGAGTGAGTGTTGGTTAAGGGGTCATCACTAGGCAGGGAGAGATGTGCTGACATTTACTTCCTTCAAAGAAGAGCCTTAACTGTCTCATTGCTGGTTAGGCAATGAATGGTTAGACAGGTACAGCTAACCAACTGGACGGCTTGGCAGCCACCGGAAAGTCATACATATTAGACACATAAAATATTTGAGAAATAAAAAGGAAGAATACAAAGTTAAATCTCTAGTGTGATCACTATACAGTAACTGTGAACTGTCGAACTGGTATGGACCCATAGCTGACCCTCCAGCGAGTTTTCAAACGCTGTTTCCTCATGCGAGGAAACTGCCTTTCTCCCACGGAGCAGCTGATGGATTCGAACTGCACGCTTTTAACATGGCAGCGCAGCCCCTTACTGCTAGGCCACCAGAGCATTAATAATACCGATTATTAAATAATACATGAGAGAAAATGGATAAAAAACAAATAAAATATTAATACTAATTAAGGTGATGAGACCCATGATGGCTCACCCTATTCTCTCTCGCTGTCATTAGATGCCTACTTTTTAACATTTTCCTAGTATTTTTTTTTTCCCTTCTTCTAATGACATACATTCTTAATCTCTTTTCAAAAACATCTCATGGGGGTGTAAAGGAACAAACAGATGCAAAGAACCGAACACAGTGCCTGGTACAAAATATGCGCTTCAGAGGTGCTGCCACTGTCCCCCCATCCTAATCTGTCCTCAGCTTCTGCCCCTTCCCCGCCGCCACGCCCCACCCCGCGCCGGGGCAGACACGCCGCTCAGGCCGCGGGAGCGTCCACGTCCTCGTCTGACGTCCACCGTGCCTGCCGCCCAGGCAGCCCAAAGGATGCAAACCACCGGCCGCACGGCCACGCTGCTCCTAGGAGCCTCTCGCGACGTCGCGCGCACCCACGGCACCGCCCCCGTGACGAGATTTCAAGGGGGCGGGACCGCAGGGGCCTCCGCCCCCGCCTCCTGCGATTGGCCATCAGGCTGTCACCATGTCGCGGGAAGCAGGGAGTGTGTGTGCATGTGTGTGATGTGTGCGTGTACAGTTTGCTTTGTCATTCGTATCCCTATCGCGCGCTGATGCGGCTGGCTTGGCCGAACGCTCTAGGATCCGCCGAAAGGGCCCCCGCCGCTGCTACCACGATGTTCCCAGTGGAGAGGATGCTGCAAGCGCCTTACATAATGTGACGCGACTGACTGAAGCACATGGTTAGCGCAGGAACACCACATGCCGCAAACCCAGGCCTTCTGATTTAACATGTTGCTAGAGTGCCTAAATGTCATGAAACATAGTGTGCTTTAATATGAATTATAATACAATTAAACGTAATCCAGTAATAATAAGGTGTATCTTCGCAACAAGGCATAATATAGGATGTTATATTTATAGGGCCTATTTATAAGCCTCTATTTAAATCTTTTCTGATAGGTCCAGCCACGGGTTTAGACACCATAATGATTGGTGTCTTCTTCTGCCCTTCAAAGAGGCGGGCTTTAGAGTCCGTTTTGCTTCAGCCGGCCTTGAGATTGGCTGGCAGTGTCAAAGCGACGCTTCGGATTGGTCCCAAGGGCCGTCCGTCGGGTCCGAGGGGGCGGGGCAGGCGGCAGGCTGGTGCTGGGGCGGGCGGGCCCCGGAATTGTCATTTCTTTGTTTCCGAAAGCGGAGGAGGCTCTGAACCCCCCCTCCCAGGCCCTCCCCCTCCCCCCGGGTGCTTGTTCCATGTCTGTGTGACCGGTCCCAGGGGTAGAGTCCAGGCCCGAAGTGGGGCGGGCCGGCGGCAGCGGCTGGGGTGAGAGGCGGCGGCGGCGCGGGCACCCGGCCCCCCAGCGGGAGGATGAAGCGGCGGAACGCCGACTGCAGTAAGCTCCGCCGCCCCCTAAAGCGGAACCGAATCACCGAGGGCATCTACGGCAGGTGAGCGGCGGCGTCTCCGCCTCTGCCGGACGCAGGCGCTGCGGTCCCCGACCGGCTCTAGAGGGGCCCGGCCCCGTTATGTAACCCCGACTAGGCCGCATGCCCGCGCCGGGGGCTCTCCCGAGCAGCGCTGCCCGGGGGGGCCACTCAGCGGCCCGCCGGGGGGTCGCTCCAGGGGCGCGGGGCGTGGCGAGG